AGGATATTACACGGAGGATATTACACGGCGGCATGAAGATATGACTTTAATCTTTGAGTGGTGAAAACAATATTTTACGAACGAGCGCAGCGACTGAGTAAAATAATGTTTTTAACATGACAAGATAAAAGTCATATCTTCAATCCACTGTGTAATATTCTGTTTATTAAATAGTCCCAAGCAAAAAAATGTATAAATACTAAATGTCATGTGATCGATATCTTCACTAGTGAAGATATGGAAAATATCTCACTGTGTATAATATTTATATATATATATATATATATATATATATATATATATATATATATATATATATATATATATATATATATATATATATATATATATATATATATATATATATATATATATATATATATATATATATATAGTTGTATCTGCTTATTTGTACTTAGCCCTTTTATGTAGGTATTTCAGTCGAATGACAATATGCGCAAACGGTTACAGTTGCATCACCCTTCGCATCTTCTCTTTCGTTAGACGCTGAATCAGTAATGATTTTACGAGAAGAATATGAAGCCCACGATGTTGCTGGGTTGCTGAAAGAATATTTTCGTGAATTGCCTGATCCGTTGATGACTGAAGATGCTTATGCACACTTCATCACTGCGAGTACGTCAACTTTCTCAGCTTTCAGACAGTATTAGTCCTGCGTGTGATGACTTTTTGGCAGACAAACGGAATATATTTTTAACTTGATTTATAGTTTCATTAAAAGCAATGCCCATGTTACGGGGCTAAAATAATACAGTATATTATTTGCACCGTTGACGATCCGGGTGTACCTAATTGTTTCCGTCAAACAAAACAATAGACCTTATGCATAATGATGTCACAAGACTTGATCCCGGAGGAATTCTGGTCTTAGTAGTCATCGCCCGGTAAAATTAAACAATTCAAAATGGCCACTATCGAAATTTTCCCGGGCGATGACTACTAAGACCAGCATTCCTCTTGGGCATCAAGCCTTGTGACGTCATTATGCATAACGTCTATTGTTGTAGTTATTTCAGCATACAATTTTCCAATTTCTTTTCTGATATAGGTTTAACGCCTGACCATGATGACAAGCTACATATGTACAAAAATAGTCTTGGTCGTTTACCTGAAGTGAACCGAACTACATTGAAGGCTGTAATTAATCACTTAGTGAGGTGACTATACAGTGGCGACGCCCAGAGGGAGGGGGGGGGGGGGGCTGCCCCCAGTTTGTCAGAATAAGTTTTAGATTCGTTCAATTCCAATGAATGGAACGCATTGGGGGACACATGCATGTTGAAAGGTGATTTATTAAGACCTATACATGTTTTCTCCAAGTGCCTCCACAATGCAGGGAATGCCGTTATATCGTTTATTTTCTATGACAAGCTGGATGATTTTATATTGCTATAGTATGCGACTAGACTTGTTCCAAGGCGACCTCCACTGTTAAAGCCCATTTCCACTCGAAAAGAAAATTTTGTAAAATGTGATTGGCCGACACAAATTTTCCAAAAAAAATTTTGAAGTTGAAAATTTTTAACTTAATTTTAACAATGATATTTTGTTAAAATTTTCTGTCCATGGAAAATTTTCTTGAGGGGAAATGGGCCTTTATATTTTCCTTAAGGCCCTGTTACACGGTGCAATTTTTCATGCAACTTGTCTCGTAATGTTTAAAAAAGATTTTGATAATGCATTGCAAGAGGTGTTACACGCTGCAATGATTTTCATGCAACTCGCAACGATAGTGGACAGAGGCATGCGAAAAGACTAGGAAGAGGCGCTATTTGGCGCCAAGTTTTAATTAAAGTAAAGCGTGAACTGGGGAGAGCCAATAGGAACTCTCCAAGCTATAAACATTGCGAGACAAGTTGCACGAAGCCATGTTACACGCTGCAATGCTAAAAATAATTAGTGCAATCGTTGCCAAAAGTAGAACCGACTTCTATTCTGTGCAATGCTTCATGCAACTTGTCTCGCAAAGATTTTGACAATTGCAAGGCATGTTAAACGGTGCAATGACTCGTGCAACTTGTCTCGCAACGCCATTGCGAGACAAGTTGCAGGAAAAATTGCACCGTGTAACAGCCTAACAGGGCCTTTACTCTTTTGTAAAGTACTTCGATGATTCCGTCGGTTCGAAGTAAAGACAAAGGACTTTGCGAAAGTCTAGTATGTTACCTAAAATTGTATTTTTAAACTCTTTGACTAATTGAAGTCATGTTATATTTTTATAGAGTTTCCTCGAAGTCACAACAAAATAAAATGAAAGTGAAAAATATATCGCTAATTTTTGGACCAACGCTGATGTCAAACAAACACGTGAGTATACTTATGATGAATCTAAAGACATATTTATTCAATAAGAAATTTCGAAATTTTTTAATTTAATTACATGGTGAAGAATATGTTCGATTCGTTAAACTCAAGACTTCATCAGACCAATTAAAAGATTATCATCTTACATTTTGATATACAGTGTAATTTAATATGGTTAAAACTAGGGGTTACTATCGCAAGGAAAGTGTTGCTTTGGATCCACAGGCGAATACTAATATATCGGAAAACTAAATGCAAAATTCTTTTCATTTAGCTTAAAATAGTTTACATTTACATGTACCCGTCAGGGCCGCCGAGAGGGGATGGGGAGCAGGGGGCAAATTGGCCCGGGCCCCCACCTTAATAGGGTCCCAACTTGAGAGCAAGAGCCTAAAATTGAGTAGGTTCTTTAAATTGGTCAGATAATTTTTGGAATTGAGGGCCTCTTACAGTACCTCCACATGCAGTCTACTAGTTAAAGTCTAGCTGCAGGGTCTAGCTTAAAAATAATGATTTCATGTGTTTGCCCCGGGCCTCGCGAATTCTCTCGGCGGCCCTGGTACCCGTACAAAGAAACACTGTATGTATATATGATTTATTTCGTTGCAAAAATTGAGATTACAACACTTCAAAAACTGACTGTACAAAAACTATTTCAAGTTTACAAACTAACATATTCAACATATACAAATTAAAAGAAGAGAACGAAGAAGAGAACGAAGAAAGAGACATGTAGACTAAATGCACAAAATACAAACATACAATACACGCACGGTAGAGGTAAACAGACACATAGACAGAAATTTAACGATGAACATAAAAGTACACGAGCACAGAAACAGGCAGGCACGCAATTTGAATGAACATGCCCTGTGGCAGGGGCAATTGCGCACCAAATCACGCACCATGTCGTGAAAGAAATAGGATTGGAAAACGTGTCAAGATGGACTTCTTTACATAGAACGTTTCAGGGTTTGACAATACGATCTTAAAGATAGAGGATTGAAAAGTACATGTAGTTGCACAGAGGAGTTTGAAGGACAACACTAACAACCTGACTAAGTTGTGTACGACTATGTTCAACAAAAGAAACATGAATCATAACTGTTTATGTTAATGTCAATATAGGGTCATTCTATTTAATACCCCCCCCCCCCCATGGATAAGGTTAGTAAAATGTTAACCCCTAAGAAAAAAAGGATCAAAGTACCGACAGAAACGACTTTGTAGTCACCCTTCAGAAAAATCCATCCATAGGGGGATGGGGGTGGACATTAAATGGAATGGCCCATAGTCATAAAGTGTCTTGCCCGAAACTTTGATCTTTGACGTAACAGAGGGGTAGAAGTTCCAATGTCAATCTCTCTTTATATGTCATTTCTCAACAATTATCCATTTCTGTCCATATTTTTTTGAAGTAACAATCCATAGAATATTTCGAGCTGTCAGGAGGGCACGACTTGTTGGTGTATAAATCAGTACATAAATTCCAATGACTTTGTGCCTGTGTATGCCTCAATGGGTTCCACCACAATGGGCCATAGTCACATTTTACTACTAAGGTTCCAATGACCAGATGTTATCTGAAGTAACATAATTTGGAATGGAATTTGAATAGACACGCTATATATACACAGTTCACTGGATATTATATAGTTCACTGACACTGGGATTGAGTAGATACTTCAGAATGATTGAATGAATATTAGCCTCCTCCGCAGGCATCTCACCCGACGAATCGGGTGGTGGGAATTTTTTTCCAAACCCATTCGCAGGCTAGAACCCATAGAGAGGCCTGCGGAGGAGGCTACCTCGAAACATGTAACTCTCTGATAGCTCTCCGAAAAAGGACTCAAACTCTCAAAGGAGTTCGGGAAGCATCGATAAAAAAGAACCGCACCCCCTACTTTTTATAATAAACTTCGCATACTAAAATACCCCCGTTTTGAAAATCCGGACAAATTCAATTTCTCAAAGTCGAGATTGGACATTACCGTATTTACTCGTTTGAGCGCCGCCCCCGAATAAGCGCCGCATTTGAGATCAAATTTTTTTAAAGAGCGCCGCCCCCGAATGAGCGCCGCACTAAACAGTGTAAAAACTTTCCACCGTCAAAATGGAGACATTTAGTGACAAATACATTAAAAACTTGTTTATTTTATTGTTAAAAGTTCTTCTTATAATACACAAATAAAAGTTTTTTTAAAGAGCGCCGCCCCCGATTGAGCGCCGCCTCCGAATGAGCGCCGCATCTGAAGCTCTGAAAATTTAAAGAGCGCCGCGGCGCTCAAACGAGTAAATACGGTACTTGACATTACATAACTCGGCCAAAGACACTGGGCACGAGTGAATGTGAAGAACTTGATGTTACGTTATTTATGAATGTACATCAAGTTGTAAGTAAAGAGTTTGAATTTCTTCTTAAACGTTTGTTGTAGGACGATTTGCATCATTTTTTATTAATTATTGATTATCGACTGATATAATTTTGTCTTATTTGTTCAAGATGGGTGAGATGGACTCGGCTACAATCAACCAAGAATTTACCGTAATTGGTGATTTTATTACATATTACAAATGGCTATTTGATGTGAGTAGTTGTTGCGTTACTATAAATTATATGATCTATTTCCAGCCTACAATTTTAAATTATCAAACCGCAATAAATGAACAACTGTTGCGCGTAAATGCTACCGTTAGCGCGTGCGTTCCCATTTCTTGATCAATCAGTTTTCAGCGTTCCCATTTCTTGATCAATCAGTTTTCATCCTAGGTTGGTGATGATGAGATCTTAAAAAATCAGGTATGCTTTAATGATTGGAATGTATTATTCTTCAAACATTTCACATGTCGTATTGAAGAAATAAATAATCCCTGAGCGCGTTGGGCGAAAGCTTGTGGCGAGGTTACTAATTCCACACTGGTATTTACATCCCGGTATGTGTAAAGGAAAATGTAGCGCAATATAAAGTCATGTCCTTCATTTTGGTCATGGACGTTGGACGATTTCCTTCGTTTTTTGACACGTTTTATAACTTTAATGCGCGTTCAAGCGGACACAACAATGTTGGCCCAACATCGTGCATTTTATAAATGTTTTTGATAATTTGATAAGATTTATCCAAATTGAAAATCTTTGCTTTAAAACATTTGCGAAACTTGAAACAATATAAAACAGTGGCGGACACCTTGCGAAATATTGGGCGGGGCGGCGGAGCTTCTAATTGCACAGTTATTCAGCTATCATTCACAAGGTTTCACAGGCTTCCCCCACCCCCTCCCCTCCCCCTCTTAGTATCCTGATATAAAACATTATTTGAAAATGATTAGTTGGTATTGGGCCAACAATGTTGAGTTCGTTTGACTTTGTATAATCAAATTTAAATTTGATTTGAGGCTTTGTTTGAGATTACATCAAACTTAGACTTGATCAAGTTGTATCAAGCTTGTTATCAAATCGCAGCGTGATGCCAAGAGCAGCGCAATGTTATGGTTATACATGCAGTGTAATACGATGGGTGCTTCCAAAATGTATATGCATACTGCACAATAAGCAGTTTTTATGCAGTAATACGAAAATAAAAACAAGAGCTTCAGTAATTGATTACTCTATTTTTAACTATTATAGTGAACTGTTTATTATACATAATTTCATTATAATGAATTATTATTACTGACAATTATACCTTTTTCTTGGTGGTTAGAAAATTGCAGAGGCCATGAGTAAAATGTTACAATTAACTCATTCAACTTCACAGGTATGTTTGTACAGGTAACTGTGAAATTCATTATTATAGTCTAAGGCCCCGTGTTTACATGAGACCGGGACGAAGTCAAACGGGAATGAAAATTGAAATTGTCAACATGTTTACATGATACGTATACCGGCACGAAAATCACAAAATTTTCAATTTATTCCCCTTGCCAGGCATTCTTCTTTTTTAGATGGCTTTTGTTAGCATGTGTTGTTCCAATGTCAAGGTTTACAGCCGAGACCGGTCTGAAATGTATTTCTGTTTTCATTCATCCCGGTCTGAAGTCAGTCGGCTCGGTCCAGCAGGCAGAATGACTTGAGACAAACATCTATTATAAATAATATTATGACCGAAACGAAATGGTCCCGGTTTGACTTCGTTCCGGTCTCATATATAAACGGGGCCTAATTGACAGCTTTGTACCCAAACAAATTTCAAAAATTGGGTCACTTGTACAGCCTTAATAGCCATGCAGATTAATGTATTGAATCGTGAAAATACTTATTAGTCAAAAGCACTGCTGCAGGTTGATCTCTTCTATACAACTTCGAGTTTGTGTGTAACTACAATCCCAACCAAAAATATTGACACACTAGTATTTACATATCACGTACAGTTCACCGCAATACACTCTCAAACAATCAGTGGTTAGTGTATTGGACTGGCAGTTAGTTGCCAATCTGCATATAATTTACGTATGTGGGATATTTTTAGTAAATGTTAAACGAATTATTGAATTTCAATTGCGTACTACCGATTTGAAACGTACCTTGATGTTGTAGGTCGTACTATACTACGTACTATTAGTCACGATTTTTAATCACTTTTATTCTTTAGAGTATTATCCGTGCAGACGTGATCAGTGATATGACGTTGGACATATATGCCTTAAGCACTGAAAAGGAGTGCTCGCGAATTACCGTAAGTTGAACAGATGCGCTGAGGTGCAAGAGATTTACAAATACCCCCCAAGTCAAAACCGAGAGGCAAATCAATTATTTAAATCACTTTAAAATCACAACAAATCACATGAAATATTATAAAACAAAAATATGCAAAAAAAAAACCACCAAAAAATCATATAATTTTTTGATATCGATCTGGTACACTTTTATAGGAGTGATTTGCCCCTCTGTCAAAACCTACCAATTATTTTCTTTATTAGATGTAATGAATTGATTATGAACAGATTTTTTTCTATTGGCCAGGTGTTTTCAGACACAAAAGCTAGTAAAATATGTCAAGAAGTGCAATCTAAAAGGGCATTGGCTCCAGATTTGAACTGGGCGTTGTTTCAAAATGTAAATGAAGAAATCGGTAAGATCCAATGGTGTAAAAATGCAGTAATCCCATTAAATCTGTTAGTCATAATCTTCGTAATACAAAATAACCCTCGTGTTTTATTGTTAGAACGACCATTTCCTGCTACGGAGAAAGTGCTGGCCACAGTAATTGAAACTGGGAAATACAGTCAACTTAACAGGGGTAGCCGTTTGGTGGTGAAGGAAAACTACGTTCTACAAAAACTTCAAGCATACGTAAGTGTAGTTTATTTTATTTTTGTTTTGTTTTATTTTACAATCTGAAAGAGCGTGTTAATCATACTTGCTCCAACCTCTTAAAAAATCTACGTGATCCATAGTGAACCCCTTCAGCGTGAACCCCTTTAAAAGATATACGTGATCGTGGGCGCGTGCAGCCGCGCGCTCAAACGCTGCATCGTTTTGTGTATATTTGTAGCGTTTCCTTGGCTGTTTTGTAAAACATATTTTGCAATTTGCTGTATTAAGTGTTTGTTATCATTATCAAGAATATTGGATAAATGTTCGTCGCTGTTGTAGATTTGTGAGTGAATTTTGTGGATATGTTTCGTTGTTTCGTTGGATTTTTGTGTATGCTTTTCGCTCGAGTTCGGCTTGCGTACGTCAGCAAACACCGCACGCGCAAGTGATGACTTGTTAGAAAAATGCGCGTGAGAAGTGGAACAAAAGCTAAATTAACCATTCGTAATCAAATTTTATCATATCATTATTGTTTTAAATACATTATTATCTATTTGAGATAAGATTCAGTATAAGGTCTTGGTAGTCTACACTTGCATCTCGAGTCTGTGAAAAACGGTCGATGGAATATATCACATCAAAAATATGCCTGTAGCAAGTATTGTTTGCCTTCTTCGAGATCTTCTTCCTTCATTTTGAAAATATAATGTATATGAGCCCGCGAACAAACAAAGACATTGGATTGCGGTTGGGTATCAAAAGTTGGTCTTCAAAAAATAAGTTGTGTTTTCAACCAATAAACTGGTGATTTTCAAAAACAATGTTATTATTTTAATGAAATGCAAAACAAAGTTATTGTCTCAAATAGATAATGTGTTTAAAATAAGAAGTAATATGATCCTCAAAATATGATATAGTGAAATGCAAAATTGATTTTTGGTGGACATGGGACACCATATCCCAATTCTCCTAATTATACGGTTATTAATAAATCAATGTCTATAAATATATCGTATATAATATTCACAATCATGCTTTTTTATATATTCTTATTGCTAATGAAACAGTCACTGCAAAATGACACGTCAGTAAGTATTGCTGGCTCATATCAAACAATGAAAGAAGTAAAAAGAAAAGAAAATTGGAAAAAATTATGTGTTAAACTCGAGAAAGGAATACTGACAGTACATAAGAACCTCAAGGTTAGTTATTGCTTAAATGTCTGCTTTATACATAGACATAGTCAGAAGGAGTTGTGGGGTTTGCCTCTCCCCTTTTCGCGAAATTCAGACCTGTACAAAGCATATACAGTACATTTTTATTAAGTTGTTGGGTAAATTTCATCTTGGAGTCGTTATGCGTTAAGTGGTGATCTGAAGTCCATAAAATCGCTCCAAAAAATGCAGAAAATGACATTCCAGAGATTTTCAATGCTCCCGAGTCCGGGACGTCTCTTATACATTTTATAGAGAGTGGATGCTGTAGTGGACGTCTCTTATACATTTCATAGCGAATAATTATAAGCAGAGTAAAAGGGTACTTTCTAGTTTTCATGACCTGACTTCGTCTTTGAGTCTATATCCTTAATTTTTTCCTGAGAGGGTGAGAGTTAATAAGAATAGTAAAAATTTTATTCGTTTGAAATCCAAATTTTATCACTGCACTCTCGTTACCTTTACTAGTTGAGATTACTAGTTGAGATTTTGCATGTTGGATGCAGAAAAACTAGCTCATAACGGGACGGGGGTAGATGAGTCACGCGAGTGCTTACAATCACAGTGTATCTGGACCCAAAGTGTGAGGAAAGAAAACGTCGAGTTAATATATCTTGTTTTACTTCTGATCCACAGAGCAAAGATGATATTGATAGTTGGCCTTTATTGGAGACAACATTATATATTGGTGTGGATAGGGACAAGAAACCGCTTACTGGGTAAGTTTTAACAACCTAATGAAATCTTCTGCCTAATCAATTAAAAAGATAATGAAGAAGACTTAATTATATCTATAAAATTAGGGAAAGGTATCCCATGAAACCTTGGCCCCACCAGCAAATAAAATTGCAACCACCATTCTATGACATTGTACCGTTATTAGAATAATTAGGGAACTTTAGATTCGCTACGGCTACGAAATCTGGTACGACTATATACGAGATTTTTCCGTTAAATATCTGCTACTACAGACTTTCTATCGTCCTTTCTTTTGCATACCACATCTTTATAGCAACAGTTGTGCCAAACCACTCACTATTATAAGTTTTTAGTAGCTGATATTTAATGGAAAAAATCTCGTAGTCGTACTAGATTTCGTAGCCGTAGCGAATCTAAAGTTCCCTATTATCCCCGAGCTGACGGTGCGAAGCGCCGTGGGAGGGTACTAAATCCCACCGGCTATTTACACCCGGGGAAACGAAAGCATTAGCGAAGTCTAAAGTTCATCAATGATCGCGGGCGTGGGTCACCAACGGTGTTGGAGTATTGGGTGGGTGGTCATCCTCACTGATCTCAAAAATGTGGCAGACTGTCATGAATAGCGGACACTGATTGGTCCAATTTAAATTTGCATTATAACGACTGCATGACGACAGCGAAATAGCAAACATTTCTTGATTCGATGATTGATAAATTTCTTGCAAATATATTTCATTTTTGCAAGATTTTGTAAATTTCAAAAGCTTTCTCAGAAAAAAAGGGCGAAAGAATCGGAATTGCTTTAAAACCTGACGGCCTTTGCGTATATGAAACCATAGGTAGCCCAACAATCAGTGGTATTAATTCATTTCTGTTCAATAAAATCATACTACTACTTAGTCCCCGACTGCATTGTTTACGCGCGTTCAGATCATGTACGTATCCCTTACGTATCCCTATAGTAATCTGACCGCGCGTAAACAATGCAGTTGGGGACTAAGTAGTAGTATGATTTTATTGAACAGAAATGAATTAATACCACTGATTGTTGGGCTACCTATGATGAAACAACTAAACAAGACAGCATATAATTTCAGTGTATCTTTAATATTGATTCCATTTTTTATTATATTGAATTTTTTAAATAAAAAAACAAAGCAAAGTTATTTGCATGCGAGAATTTGAAATCATTTTATTGCAAACTCAAAGTTTATCGATGAAGCCATTTAATTATTAAAGGCAGTTTAGTTTTATATTAAAAAACACTTTAAAACGTTTTGCGAAGCGTTTGTGGTTGAATTTTACCTTAAATTGAAGCTTATATTACGTATAATAACACACCTAACATATATATGTTGGGAAATTGATAATTTTGTAATTAAAAGTGATATTTTTAGGCGATTTTTCATTTGTAAGAATATTCTTAAAAAATTATCGCGTTACCATGACAACTACTATAGATACTTCATGTTCGGAAAATACAATGGTTTTGTCAGTAAGGCGAGGGTTTCTGCATGCATGTATTTTCTAGTATGTATTCATAATAGCTGTCTGTAAATTCTATCTGTATATTTATGTAATATATTATCTATTGTATTTCTGATCTGGTATACAGTAGGAAGGTTTGCATCCGATTGCTATTTTTTTATAATTGACTACAGGGCGTTTATAAGATATCTTATAAACGCCCTGTTGACTATCAGTCTGCCATTGTTTTATTATAGAACTCCTATCCGATGCATATCTTTATATACTTGTGGACTCAAACATGTGCCTGCATGTCTCCCTAAACTAATCGTGTTTTCCATAGTAACCTTTACATTTTCTTATATAGATTTGGTTTCACAATCGTTCGAGTAGCAAAAGATGGCCAGTGTGTTTACAGGTAACATAAATTGATATATCATTGTATAATTTTGTTGTTTAAATTAATGGAGGAAGAACACTTTCAACTTTTAGTTTGTGTTAACAGTCATGTCAAGGAGGTAACGAGCGAATTCATACAATACCAAAGGGCTTCCTATGATCTTGAACAAGTTTGTTGATAAGTTAAGATTTTTCTTCCATTGAAATATGTATGCGTCATCCTCCATGCATGGCTGGAGAAGTTGAATGCATGGAGCGACGCTACCTCCATATAGTATATATGGAGCGAACTCCAAAACGTTGTTGAATTAAGAATTCAAGTGTTACTAACAGTAACTACAAAAATCGTATGAAAGCCGTAGAGCTACCTTTCTAAACCTGTACTGGCTAACAACTCCGAATATACTACGTAAGAGTTAGCTATCTAATTCTGGAGTTACTGTACTGGCTAACAACTCCAAAACTCGTGCTGAGCCAGTTATCCAAGCCTGCAGGAGTTGCATGCTACTACGGCATAGACTAATATAGCTCCATTCGAAGATTTGCTGTACCTCCACAACAATAAAATCTTCAAGCATGATCCTCCAAATGTTTGATATACTATATATAGTGAGGATATGAATCTATATAGTTCATAAACAGGTTGGTATACATCCTTGGACAACTTCAATAAAATTGCGTCTATACAAGTATAATCTTTTGTGGAAAGTATGCAGTTCAATCATTCAAGCGAGTGCATGTAATACCGCGAAATAAAGCGATAGAATGTCCAGCTTCGGACGAACTAAACAAAAGGGAATTGCAGCCGTGATAAATTCACTCGTACGTCATCAAACGTATCCTATCATTATAGAGTGGACGAAATGCATGTGTTTTCCCACGTGTGAGAAAATTCATTCGCAGCTCAGATTGGCTTATGTACATTTTGAAGCGAGTTTTAGCATGGCTAAATCCATTCGTAAAGCTCAGAATTATAATAAATTAAGAGACTATATGTATTGTTTTTAATATCGTAGATATATTTGCTTTGAAGAAGAAAGAGAGCAGTATAGATGGATAAATATGTTTTTAAAATTAAAGGTAAGCTAAAAGTCTGGTGAAAGAAAACAAATTATTAATGATCTCACGCAGGTGGATCGAACACAAATTGCGCATTCCTATACTCTTTTGACCACGATTTTAACAAATTTCTTATTTCAGTATCAAATTTCATGCACGAGTCAAATATTTCTTATTTAGAAACAAAGTCTACAATAATTATTGTACTTTAAAATAAATGAGCAGAGCTTATAATAAAAGGGTTTCGTACAAGTCTCATGGGTGCATGGCTTAAAGCTTATACTCGAACGGCGTCAAAATTTCTTCAGCCTTTATAAACGCGCACACCACCTCATGCTTTATATTACATGAAGCCATGCACTATATGTGCACTTATATACTTTGTCACTATTTATCCTATTTTAGTATTCAGGAGTAGAGGACCTCTGGACAGATCCTTATTTAGATCCAATTGGATATTACGCTGAAGCTCTGGTAAGAGTAAAGTAAAATAAACATGGCATACATAAATCTAACTTAGTGGAATCGTATTGTTATATGTAGCTGCTCACTGACAGTATATCGATCGCCAACTTTTCATATTATTTTACTCAACCAATTATTATTTTTTCTCAAAAAAATAACGGACAGCGTATAGCTATACGGTCCGTTGAGGCTAATTTCCACTCCGGATAATAAGCAGCGGATCGGACCGGATTGGAGGTTTTTCCGATCCGGTCCGATCCAGCAAGCGATTTCCAGTAAAAGGACAAGTGGAATGATCGGATCGGAAAAGGAAAAAATGGAGCTCGTTCTAGTCTCACAAATTACTATTTCGCGCTTATTTCAAAACGGCAGCGGCTCTGAACAAGCGTGTCCTTCATCTGATTTGTTTACGTCGTCGCCAGTAAAGGAGAAGCGAACAAGAAAAATACAAAAATTGGATAAGAAAAATTTTCCAGGAAAGACAATGGAAAAGTAAATACCACTTATTGCTAGAAGAGTTAAAGCTACCATGAATATTTTTTTAAGCAATTTCGTATGTTGCCAAGCAAATTAATTTAAAGAGCTGTTGTACTCTCCAATTCTTGTAAATTCTCCCTCGAATTCTCCAAGAAAAATAAGAAAACTCCTAAATTATCCTCCATTTTGTAAATTTTATACAGGTATTATTCAATTATTTTAATTTATGTGAGATAATACGGCATTTTGGTTGGTCGCCAGGTTTAATCCGCGGACCGGACCAAAAAAAAGTTGAAAATATTTCAAACTTTTTATTATCCAGATCAATCGGAACCAAAAATTTCTACTGATGGCGCATGCGCGAATTTTGTTTTGATCCGGAGTGGAAATTAGCCTTTAAACTTTAAAGTCATATTTGTTAGTGTTCTTCGGAGGCCCTTTCATTGAGCGAATGAGCAGCTCAGCGGAAAGCACTGATATAATTTGGAGTTAATGAATAATGGATCCAGCTGAGGTATTTTAGTAACAGGGTGGTCATGTCGCTGTCTGCGCCTCAACCCCAATCCATTAAAACCGCCAGCTATGCGCAGGCTATATATAGTTATGGAATGACCGATAATTAATTTAATAATAATGGGCTCCGTCCTTGGCTCGGGGAATATATTGAAGAATTATACCATGAGCTAGCTCGAGTCGTATATGAACTGATGGCCGACGAGGTGCATGCCACCGAGATATCTTCGAAGGAATGATTGTAATGGTGACTAGTCAACTGGCAATAATTAGTATATATTATATACAAATATGTAAATTGTTGTGTATACATGTATATAAAAGCAAGTGTTGTGCAATATTTAATGTAGTGTGTGAATAAGGCTTTTTAACTAAACGGCTCGTGATATTTCGTAACAGTATATGATATCTGTTGGCCGTTTCTTTTCCGTAATAAAGCCATGAACTCACTATTGACAGTACGTCTTTGTCGACTTTGAACGAAACATATTTTTTCATTATTAACAGGCTCCTGTCAAACCATTACCACGTCAGGTAGGCTTTTTGGTTATTAATGAGAAAGTATAGAAAGTAATTTGAACTGGAAACTATATATGTACTCATTATATAGTTGCATTCTCCCGTACAATAACTTTAAAATGTATTATTAAAGGAATACCGAATGGTTTTCCGTGCAGGATTTGCGTGATCCATGCACGAGAGATGTCGCGAGACTTTCGGAAAGCGTAAAAATACTCGAGTGTATTTTTACGCTTTCCCGAAAGTCGAGCAACATCCCAAGTGCATGGATCATGCTATCCTGCTTGGAAAACCATTTGGTAATTGTTTTATAAAATAACTACAGTGAAACAATGACATTTTGGGAATTCCGCGAAGGCGTTTTAATTCCTCGTGCAGGATAGCTTGATCCTGCACGGCTATTGACCAATCAAAATGTGTGTTTCACTGTAGTTATTACATAAAGGCATTTCTTTCAGCTTTCTCATCAGCTGTCATCAATTTTTGTAACATCTTTTGGTGTAGCGGCTCGGTTCACGATTTCGTGAAAAGAGTTCAACACCATTAGCAGTGTGTCTTTTTATGTGTTCATTTCGCTTATTCATTTTCTCCTGTAGCATTTTCGCTTTCATTTTTTAACAATCGTTTCAAACATTCATTTTCACAGAGAACTCCAAGCAACATTCCAGCTGGAGCCTCCGCCAATGTTTTAAATGAACTTAAAGAGAGGCAATTAAGAAAATCAATAAAAAAATAGGATATACGAATTGCGGTATAGTTATAATTTAATCCTCTCTTTAATTAATTTGTATATGTTATAAATAATGTTAGAGTTTCAGTGTCTTCGATTTATGGACCGTAGTTTAGGATACCAGAACAGTAAGTTAGTCAATGGTCATGTATTTTTACGTACATTGAAGATTCTTGTGCATGGTACTGTAAGCAAGGAAACCAGATACACATTCAGGTTAGATATTGTGTTAAATAATACCGTTTGGTACCGTATAATACTGTATGCTTTGTGTTTCCTGAAATTGTCGGCAGAAAATAGATTGTAACCTTTATTTTTATTCCGTATTGGTTCCCGTTTGCACCGGAAAACTGATATAATTTTTTTAGTATTGACCATTGACTAACCCGAGGGGTGTAATTACTCCAAAAATCTTCCCATTTCCATTTTCCCCAAAATAAAAAAAATCGTGGAATCCAGCCAAAATCTTTGAAATCTCTAAAATCCAAATCACTCAAATCCTATTTGATCGTGTCAAAAATATCATTTAATTAATTAATATCCGATGACAATCTCGCAAAAAATCCCCAAACCCCTTTTGTGTGGATTTTGAAATCCCCAAAATCCTCGTGCGCTTTTTCAGAGTATTAGTACGTGTGTTATGACCTCGAAAAGTGCCTATAAAGAAAACGATTTTCATCAAGCATGTCTTAGATCTGAAATATTTTTACGGGAACTAACACTTTCGAACACGCTGAGTTCAAATCCCAATAGTTCCGACTCCGTAGACCCGCAGTTTTCTCACAAACTGCTATTTTATCTTCACTAATTCCACATTGTTCAACCACAGGCGGCCCAATCTCGCAAGGGTCAGTATAGACTTATAGTATAAATGTATATTATATTAATGTATATTATAGTAAAAATATGTCGTAAAATATAAATTTTAAAATGAAGTTGACTTGCCTATTTGATAGTGTGTGTTCTCCTTTTATTCCTCCTTTGTTGGACTAATATTTTCCGAGACTTTGTACTCGATGTTACTAGTATACATGAAACATGATAAAGGCTAACGATTCCCGATCGTCGATACGACGGCACGGCACTTCGAATCGAAAATTCTCACACTCAAATCGCTTTATTCTCAAAAAAAATTCGCCAGCATGTACAACAAATGCCGTTCTTCGAAAATACAGAGGTATTTCGGCGAGATGTACAAGTTTTGGACCATATTTTAACAATGGAAATCAAAAACCCGGACCGAAAATTACTACGGCGAACGTCTGCGCAACCAGGCCTCCTTTACCGTTGGATTTACAGGGGGGAGGATGCCACTAATATATTCACGATAATATTTCGAATTAAAGTATCATATTCTACCATACTTTCCAACAAAGAGCCGCTGTATATTACTTCTTCCTTAAATTTCTTCAATCTCCGTCGTTTAATTTTCTTTTCTTCGACAACATCTCGAGTTTAATACAGTATCCGATCGAAGGAGTTTTTATTTTGAATATCAAATTTCAAATAATGTAAACAGTCGCTACGCGGCCGCGATTGGCTGGCTGTTACCGGAAATATCTGCTTCCCCCCTGTAAATCCAACGGTAAAAGAGGCCTGGTTGCGCAGACGTTCGCCGTAGTAATTTTCGGTCCGGGTAAGTTCAATATAAAATGGGTTTTGATTTCCATTGTTAAAATATAGTCCAAAACTTGTACATCTCGCCAAAATACCTCTGTATTTTCGAAGAACGGCATTTGCTGTACATGCTGGCGAATTTGTTTGGAGAATAAAGCGATTTGAGTGTGAAAATTTTCGATTCGAAGTGCCGTGCCGTCGTATCGACGATCGGGAATCGTTAGCCTTTATCATGTTTCATGTATACTAGTAACATCGAGTACAAAATCTCGGAAAATATTAGTCCAACAAAGGAGGAATAAAAGGAGAACACACACTATCAAATAGGCAAGTCAATTTCATTTTAAAATTTATATTTTACGACATATTTTTACTATAATATACATTAATATAATATACATTTATACTATAAGTCTATACTGACCCTTGCGAGATTGGGCCGCCTGTGGTGTACCCTGTCCGATATTCAAACGGATTTTTTTATAACGTGATCTTTTGGTTTCCGAAACATCGCCAACTGTTTGTAAATAATGCTACTGTATCTTGACTTGTGATAGCACAGGATTAAAACCCGTGTTCTTATGGACTATAAAATTCCTTGCATTGACATTGCTCTCTGGACATTGCTGAAACTCAACGAGTAAGACTTATTTCGAAGTATAGCTATCTGTTTTCACCAGTGAACTCTATTGGTTATCTTATGAACGCCATTCGTTTACGCCAAGACTTCTCCGTGCGTGCTATGGCTATGCGGTACAACGACAATATACAATACGATACATACAGTTAAACATCAGACACAAGTATTTTATTTTATTTTATAGTATATTTAATATATCATGTTTTACGTGCAGCAATCTTAGCAGACACATTATAAATCTTATAAAGACCTTTATTGGCATTGCAATTGGCCTTTTATAGCAGAATAATCCTGCTTTTTTCGACCTGAATGGCTGAATCATGCTGCTGTGTTAATCAGTATTTATATCAACTTCAATCTTCATCATATTTTAGAAGTTTTCATCCAAGTATGCTAGAGACAAACAGCCGATGTATCAATAGAAACTTTAAAATGCTTATAAAAACGTATCGAGTAATGCTGTGTCTATGTGGGACTTATATGAATTATGTATAATATGACCCTGACAAAGTGTAGAGGCACTTTGTACCGTTATAAGGTTTTATATAGGAAAGTATTTTTCTATTATATCTGCTGTTATTCTTTTGCATTCAATGCCAATGGGCAAGGTATAAAAGACGAGGGTAAATGAATATTGAATTATATATTATAGGACATACTGTGCACTATTTTGCCATTATTATACTCGCGTGTAGACAAAATAGGAAAAGCATATTAAATTCTATACTGTAGATTCCCTAACAATTTTTGTACCTTATACACTCCTTACTACCTAGTGTTTAATACAAACGATGAATTATACAATAATTTAACCTATTAAAAAAAATATGCGATGTCTATAAACAATTTTTGAATCAATAAATCAATCAACAGAGATTCAATGTCCATTTGGCTTGTATCTATTTATATAAAGCGTGTGCGCGAGAAGACCTCAAAGCTCAAAAGGAGCTACGACCTACCACAGTATTGTGTTGAAATTAACAAGTAAATCAATTCAAAGATAAATATACCGTTTCCAAATAACGCTAACGGCATATTATAAGAATATTATAAATATGTGAAGTGAACCAGAGGCAAAACAGAAACGTGTGAAATGAAAATACGCCAGAGGCCTCGAGAGAACATTAGAACAATTTCAAAGCATACGATCATACGTTTTTATTGCTTGACTTCCTGACTTGTCTGTTGCTATAAAAATATGTTTAGCATGTTTTTTATTAATTTAAAAGCAAACAGGAACCAAATTTAGCAAGTATTTAAATTTCATATGATTCTCAAAGTTGATTGTACAGGACACTCTCACTCCTTGCAATCGAAGTGTAAAGTGCGGAAGTGGAAGCATGTAATTTGATACTTTGCGTACTCCCCCTTGGGCGATCAAATTTCCGCGTGCCACGTGACCAGCCCCAGCCAGGGTCTTTGCTTCCCAAGAGCAAAGAGCCTGGGAACGAGGTTGATCTCAACCACAGTTCGCCCTCGGATGAATCTTATTATCCCAATTCATTCTCCGTGACAGCCGCTAAGAACACTGAACTCATAATGATGAGAACATGTAGAGTTTGGAATTTTTTGATAACTTTGGGCCAATGCTTGTGAAATAATGACAAAAACCGTTTTAGACGACCGGCCATCAGTAAGTTACATGGCTTTTTCTGTTGCAAGCTGTCAGATGGCTATATATCTTAAACATTGGTGAACAAGAATATTTCTACATTTTTTTGAACACTTGCATTTAGCTGATAGCTTAACCTCATCATTTGATAAAAACAAGTACACAATTGGTATTTTCCTAGATCTTTCTAAGGCATTTAATTGATACTGTCAATCATGAGATTTTGTTTGACAAACTTGAGCATCATGGTATCTGTGGACTGGCTCTTGATTGAATAAAAACTATTTTGTTGATAGATTTCAATTTGTTGAATTTTCATGATGTCATGACTTTTATGAATCTTCCAAAGTAGATTTTCTTGTTGACTATATTACACCCATGGAAAGTTGTCAAAAGTTGCATTGTGTACTTACTGTATATTAAATATTTATGAAGTGAATACTATTTGTTTTCTAGTATCTATTTGAATGTTTTCTAACAGACATACAAGGTTTGGTATAATATATCATTTATAGACGTTTCACTCCAATTATCCCCCTCCCCCCTAAAAAAATTCCTTCATCCATAGGCGTACCGGGCGGGGGGGGAGAGCCCCCCCCCCAGTTTGTTGGGCAGTCGGGCAATATTCAATCAACAGTCGGGCAATTTTGGTTTGCAATTAAAAAAAATGGGACAAATTCTGTAAATTTTGTGTAAAATTAAGTAAATTTTTGTGGCCAATTTTGTGTTTTTTCGAAAATTTGTGTTATGTTCCGAAAAATTTTGGTGTCCGGAAAATTTTTTTGACCCCTAAAATGGTACACTGACCGAAAGGGGGGGAGGTCGCCAAAATAATTTTTCCGGAAAAAATTTTTCAGTACTAGTCGGGCACAATCCCGAAAAGTCGGGCAATTTTCTTTCCGCCCCCCTAATTTTTTCCTTCCGGTACGCCCATGCTTCATCCCTCAGCGGAATTGTTTTGGGAATACCCTCGTTCCAGGTCTATAATATTAATCTGCATTAAAGTAAAAAGAGTGCATGCAAGAAGTGTGTTAGACTGTTAGTTGTAATATAGACCAGGACTTGCGAGTGGTGTCAAAGCAGCTGGGAAAACATAAATTATAGAAACGGTAGTGTGATAATATCAGTTGCTTAATCATTTAAATTTACCCTTTCTGCGTACGGTCATTGTCATAAATGTATTACATAAAACTCACGCGAATGGTACATAATGTCCATATTGTTCCATACACATCCTTCGAAAGAAATCTGCACTTAGTTGATTGTCGTCTTGGCTACTTTTATCAGTGGCGTATTCATTCCACTGTTCTAAAGTATAAATATATGAGATACGAAAAACATATATGTAGGGAACGAGTAAATAGGGGACCAGTCATTATTTGTGGAAGGGGGGAGGGGCGAAGAGAAATAATTTCTTAGCCGACTATTCTATTGACCCAACCATTAACGAGGAAATAATTTCCTTCACCCAACTTCATCTTGAAAATTTTAGACCCACCGTTAAATTTTAATTTCACAAGACATTTCAGTCGTATCATGCCGGCGTAATTCCCAAGAAAAATATCAAACTCGAAAGGTATAATTTGTATCAGGTCTTTCCAGCGGATGTGAAACTTCAAAGATGTTGGTACAGTAAGTGTGAGCGAGCCTCAAAACACTAAGTCAATGAAGCATTGCTTTTGTGAGGAACCCACTGTAAAGGAACAGATTATAAATAGAAAAAGAGCTTGTTAATGAGGATATGTATCCAAAAGATTACACCACAAACGAATTTAAGTTTATAGGGGATTGCGTTGAACAATTACATACTATATACAATTATACTAATACGGTTATTATTATTTTATTAGTATTTTAATTTTGAGATACAGTGATTTTTTGTCTACCCAGCCCTTTGCCTGGTCTAATTTTTTCTGACCCAACCTTTTACTCATCGAAAATCTTCTTTATACTCACCCATTTTCTCTTCGATGCCCCCTCCCCCCATGAATAATGACCAGTCCCTCTAAAATAGGCCATTTCAGAATTACGCTCCAGTTAATAACGCCAAGTCGTGTCTTCCTGCTAAATTTGCTATAGAAATATTACAACTTTGTACGAAGCCTCGTTCTCAGGCTGTTGTTTATGGGCACTCCACCGAAATTTGGAAATACACGATTCAAGGGTAAATTTGACAAATTAGTATGAAAGATTTAAGTAATAAACTTGTATACTAACAGACGAATTTATACTAACATGTATGTTGGCGATCTAAATTCGCGCCCCATATTTCGCACCCCAACTTATTTTCACCTGCAATTAAATGTGCGAGTATGACATAATTATGGTAGATGGAAACAAATCCAACGTTTACATGTTTTTGTAGAAGCTGCAAGCAAAAAATAGTGTCACCAAAACACGAAATATGCCAAAGAATAAAGTTGTTTAATGTGAATAATATGTGGCCAGGGACGCCGGAACCATGTGAAGGCAAGGGGGGCAGATTTTCGTGAAAGGGCACTTTTGAATTGATATATACTAAGAGATGTTTACAAAACATCGGGAGTTGAACTTCGCCTAATCATGTTTTCTATTCATTGGATGATAGGGGTGTGAGGGGGTTCTCCGCCAGGCGATTGTGCTATTCTTGAAGCTCGATGACTGCATTTCTTGCGTTTTCTGAAGCAAATTCGTAAAATAATTGCACTAACATTTCTGACAATTCGCTATTTCGCCAAGGCAATCCTTAAATGCCCCCCTTGCCCCTCCTGGTAAAGGGCAACGGGGGCGGCTGCCCCTCCTGCCCCCCTCCAGTTCCAGCATCCCTGTATGTGGCAAAACTGCTTACAGCTAAATATAAATGTAATGGATAAAATTACCATCAACGAACACGGGTAAATCAGGAGCTTGCTCTTCCAACATATCATCGATGTTCTGCAAGTATAAAGTATATTTTAACCAGTTTATTATGGACAAAGACAGCTATAATAACTTGGTATTTCTCACATTAAGATTATTCAGATTGAGAAATTCGTAAGTGCACGATACGATTTTCGTTGGCCTATGTTTGTACTGTACTGTATACTGTAGATAGCTTGCAGATCTGCCAATTCATTCTCTTCGCTTCAAGACTTATCCATCGTTTTTTGTTTTATATTTGGCATGACAAATTATAATCGACTGATCAATCAAGCTACAACGAATTTCACTTACTGGAATATACATTGAATATCCTTGTGCACCATAGGGATTTGGTTGAGTGTACGTAGAGGTTTGTGGTATTTCGTGTTGACCCCAACTTGTCCTTCTTAACTCGCACACACGACTAAACAACGTCTGTGCAGCCCTAGAGAGAATGTTTTTTAAAATAATAATTTGTCTGAGAAGCGCACCTGATTTGCTACAACGATCGTGTTCAATAATTATGACATTATATGGAAACTCCAGGAAAAATCTCCTCCAGGCCCTGGGAAAATTATAAACTATGTTTCGCCTCTTAAAACTATCTGTAAAAGAATATAAAAAATTCAAAATTTCCAGCAAAGATCTTTCGTAAAGCCGTAACAGGTTTCAAAATCGGCAAAGGACTCGGGTGTTAGCTATTTTTTACGATTAATGCCTAAGGATTAGTTTTTATTGAAGGAGGGAAACCGGAGGACACGGAGAGAACCAACAAACTCTACTTACATGAGTTTTTCGAGGGCTGTGAAGTTACCCAACCTTAGTAAATCCAGGTCCTCAACCTGCAATTAGCAAGCTTAACATAGAGGTAAGGGGTAGCGTGCTAACCAAGCAATTTAAACAAAACAGTGTTGATCAGATTGATTTCAATGTATCGCGCGACTGGTTGTAATTGTGCAATACATAAAAAAGGCACAAGTCAAATCACAGACCTGTAGCAAACGTAATAGAATTCACTGTTGCAGCGTTTTTACAAACTGCTCATAAACTTGCTACAAGTCTGCTGCAAGTACATCTTCTCGAAACGTTTGACATTTGCTCGAAACGTCAGACTTTCTTCTACCCTTTTTTTAGTAGCTTTCTCCCCGCAGAGCAGACGTATAAGATATACTTATACTAATATTTGTTATTATATTATACCTCAAGTGTCCAATCAAAAAGCTAAGTTTGTGACACGTGAGCATGAAATTCATAATCGAATCGCGCGTTACGTCATCGTATTTGACGTAGCGGGTGATTTCAATCATATCACCGGAGTGATATGGTTCGCGTAAACCAGGCGCGGCGATGACGCAAACAAGAATGCCGACAAAATATACTAAGGCCAGTGGCGGCGCCAGGCCTCCAAATTTGGGGGGGGGGGGCATTTGAGGGGCAAA